GTAAAGATGGCAGTTTCCTTCCCTAAAGGACATGTGTGAACTAGGTGGGTTTTTCCTGACAGTGGATTCATGGTCATCATTAGATCCTTAATTCCAGGTATTTTTTTGAATTCAAATTCTACCATCTGCCGCAGCAGGATTTGAACCCAAGTCCCTGGAATGCTATTTGTGTCTCTGGATTAACATTTCAGCGACACTACCAGGAGGCCATCGCCTCTCCCTAAGATATCACCTAAGAAACAATTATACAAAATGAGAGCTCATGGGTTTGGGATAACATATTAGCATGGATTGAGAATTAGTTAATGGACAAGGATCAGAATAAAAATAAGAGATAGTAGGAACTGCCGATGCTGGAGAATCTGAGATAATAAGGTGTAGAGCTGAATGAACACAGCAGGCCAAACAGCATCAGAGGAGCAGGAAAGCTGACATTTCAGGTCTGGACCCTTCTTCAGAAATGGGGGAGGGGAAGGGGATTCTGAAATATTTCAGAATCCCCTTCTCCTCCCCCATTTCAGAATAAAAATAATTTTTTTGGATGTAATTAGTGGGTTGCCATAAGGATCAGTTTTTGAGAATTGACCAATAACATTCCACATCAATGCCTTATAAAGTGGATGCAATGCAATGTATCTCAACAGATGCGGGTACCCTTGTACATGAGTCACAAAAAGTTAACATGCAATACAACAAGAAATTGTGAAAGCCATGGATGTTGACCCTTATTACAAAAGGGATTGGCTTATAAGAGAAAGCAAGTCCAACTATATTTACTTATCTGTGCCCAGTTTTGGTCTCCTTACTTTGAGGGAGTACAGCAAATTTTCAATTCAGACTGATTCCTGAAATGAGAAGATTGTTCCATGAAGAGATAATAGGTACGCTCGGAGTTTGAAGGAGGAGGTGGTGAAATCAGAGAAAGATGTACAATTGTTAAAGGGTTTGTTATGGTGCATGCTGTTGTGATATCTCCCCTGATGGGAGAGTTTAAATCTATAGATCACAGTCTCAGAATAAGGGACACTTACAACTGAGGTGAGGAGAAATTTACATTACCTTTCATATGAAGCACTGTTTCAGACTTGCATTCACTTTTATATCCTCTTAATTCCTCTCCTGAAAGTCTTGATTTTCTTCCAGAGATACTAATAACTTTCTACGATATGCCACACTCGCAGTAATTCTGCTTATTCTGACATAGTGGTATTGTCTACAGACTAATAATCAAGATTATATTCTGGGCTCAAGACCACTTCAACTGATGGTGAAATTTATAATCCAATAGAAATCTGGGATAAGGAAAATCTAGCCCTAGTGTTGACTATGTTGATTGTTGCAAAAGACCCACCTGGTTCCCTCATGCCCTGTAGGAGGGCAAATTTGCCATGCTTACAAGGCCTTATCTTTCTTAGACTCCAGAGTCACAGCAATGTGATTGTCTCTTAAACACCTCTGGACACTTTGCTATGGCCTTCCTAGTGACACCCACATACCCGAGTGGAATAATAAAAGAATAATTCTGCACTGTGTCAACATGAATTTGTGTACGCTGGCCATTCAGGACAGCATTGCTGAGCTTTGGCCAAGGCTCACCAAAATTCAGTCTGAAATCACTATATAAGGCATGATCCCAGACTTAGCTATTTCCAACCATAGCCCTTGCATTCCTCCAGAGTGTGGAGGGCACATTTCTAACCCGCTTCAGTGATTGAGAGCAGCTTTGTTAGCATCATCCAGGATGTGAAAATGGGACTTTCCTGTGTATCACAGAATTATTATGGTGCAGAAGGAGGCCATTCAGCCCATCATGCCTGCACTGGTTCCATTACCTAATGCCAATCTCCTGCCTTTTCCCCTTATCCCTGCACACAAGAACTGTCCAAAAAAAAAACACATCCAATGACCTCAATTGAACCTGCCTCCACAACATTTCCAGTCAGTGCATTTCATACCCTAACCACTCACTGAGTGAAAAAAAGACTTTTCTCATGTCATCCTCAATTTGTTTGCACATCACTTTAAATCTTTCCCCTCTTGTTCTTGTTTCTTTTACAATCAGAAACGGCTTCACCCTATTTACTCTGTTCAACCCTGTCATTAGTGAACTAGATGGATTTTTTTACAACAATCCAGTCATTTCTGATAACCATTACAGATGTTACTTTTCTGTTCTTGCTTGAATTAATGAACTGAAGTTAAAATAAGGAGCTGTCTCTGGATCATGAGTTAATCCACCAGGATTATTAATTACGTAGCATCACCATTATGTGGCCGTATCATTACTACATATCATAATTTTATTTGGCTGTCGATGGTTATTAGCTATGTATAGCCCATCCCCAATTACCCTTGCAAGCAATTAAGAGTCAACCATGCTCCTATGATGCTGCTTGGCCTGCTGTGTTCATCCAGCCCTGCACCTTGTTGTCTCATATCATGTGGGTCTGGAGTCACGTACAGACCAAGCAAGGCAAGCAGGCAAAGGTTTCCTTCCCTAAAGGACACCTGTGAACCAGATGTATTTTTAGAACAATCAACGATAGTTTCATGGCTACTATTACCAAGAATAGTTAATACCTCTGGTTATTAGACAAATATCTATCACTTTCAGATGTAAAATTAACAGCCCACCCAGCATTACCTGCCACTTGCAGAAGAAAGTTTTAAACTCCATCACCATTTGTGTGTCAAAATTGGCATGAATACGCAGCTCCAATACTATATATTCTGTGAAGAAAGTTAATTTGTCTTTAAAATAGGAAAATAGGACACAAAGAATCTTACAAAATGGCTCCTAAAAATCACACAACTACACTTGTGGATTTGACTGCTATTAAGGCCAGACTAATTATCTCAAGAAGAATTCACAAGAGACATTCTTAAATTGAATGAACATATCAAATGGTGAACAGGAACTCCTGGACAATAGTTTCCCTTGAGGTGTGAATAGCTCTCTAGCTCACCAAACCTCGACAAGAAGAACTGTCAAAGTGAATGGCTGAAACAGTTAAAAAGTGAATTTAGCCTGACTAAAAGACAAACCCGTACCTAATGCGGAAGCATGATTTGACAGTATGGGACTCTTTAAGTTTTAAATGGAGATAAGTCTGGCTGTGAGCAACCATTTTGTGCAGAGACCATAAGAGAAGCGTCAGGATGTAGTGACTGCTTTTAACACAGGAAAGTACGCTGCACTAAACCAACCTACTGAGAGCCACAATCTGTGGCACCATTCAAGTGAGTCAACACAGCCTTCACATACTCGCAGGAACCTTTCTGCTCCGTCCACCTGTGAGAGCAGCCTCCAACTATTTGTCTTCAGAAATAATCACAGTGACTAAATTCTGACTTCAAGTTTACAAGCCCTTCACATTGGAAAGAGGACCTTTAAGCAAGTGAGGTCTACAAGGATAGTAAAGACTAATCCTTTCTCACAGGGCTGTGGGATAAGGCGGGTGAGAGGGCACAGGGGTTAGTAGGAAAACAGGTTAGGGAACTGGATATTGCTTTCTAAGTGCTTTCTAGTGCTTTTCAAATGGGCCAAATAGTTATCTTCTATGCTGCAAATTTTGATTCATTGACCAGTCCTGAAGGAATTGCCCCAGGACAAAGCTAACAATATCAGGATAAGTTAGTGAGGGGACCAATAATTTGAAGATTAGATAGACATACTAAGCTTGTGGTCAAGTGTCTTTCATTCAGTGTTAAACAGGGGAACTCCATTCAATGAAACTATATGTAGTTTCCGCAGCTGAACACCATAGCCACTCCTTTCCAACACTGAAAATCAACACCTCCTAGATGCAAATCTCCACATTATCTTTTTAAAAAAAAACCTCCCTCCTGCCAGAAAGAAAAGTCAACAGGAAACTTAGCATGAAGTTAACCTCATCTCTGAAATTAGAATTTTATTTGGCTGTCCCCTGCCATTTTTTTCAGCGAGTAGTGCTTTACCCTGTGTCATGATCACCTAGAATGATGAACCGTCATTAACTAGAGAAGTAGAAGGAAAACACCATCATTCTTAGGAAAATCTATTCGCCTTGACTCTGTCCTCTGAAGAATTTGATTTCTATTGCAAAAAGCAGGGTCAACTGTGCTTGTTGGCAGCCAGGATTTGTAAGACATGGAAACTTGCTAGAAGTATTGACAGTCTGAAACATGGGAGACATCAAACAAGTTAGAGCAGCAACTGTACTTTCAGTCTCAATCATACCCTATTTTGGTTAAGACAATAACATTCTCTGTGTAGGTCCTTAGTGTGGGCTATGAGCAAAAAGCATCTTGGTTTTTTTCAATATGTAGTAATAGAAGCTTCACTTAACACATGGGAACCAAATGTCCACTTTGATTTGCATGTGCATTCATATTAAAGCATGTTATTACCACAGTGGTATTCTTACACCAAAAAGGAAGATGCTCAAACAGAAATATATAAGCTCCATTAACTATCTTAGAACTTTGTGGACATTGGTGGTGGGGATTAATTTCAGGGGGATGAAAAAGTCATGGAGCAAATGAAAGATATTTAAGTTCTAAACAAATGTTCCTGGCACTATCCATCTCAAAACCTCTACACCTCAAATTGCTTAAAACCTACAAATTATCCACAGTCATTTCCCTTTCTCTCTTCATTGCAGTCCACTGAAAACAGAAAGAGTTGCACAAGGGACAAAGTTGCATTCTCCAGAACAGATAAAACGTCATGATACACCAACTGGGAAACAACAGCTTGAATGTTTTTTTTTTCTGCTGTATATATAATATAATATGTATAGAGAGAGAGAGCAATATAAAGATTGTTCCTAACTTTTACTTCACAATATCATTTACATGTTACACTTTTTTCATTTTCTGAACGGCAAAAGGGAAAAAAAAAGACATAAATTGTTTTTTCAAAAATCCTTCCAGAAAAATGAGGACAAATTTCGATTTCTTGTATTACTGATAATGCAACTTATGAAAGCTTCCAAAGCCATTCTAATGCCTCAGCCTCACAAATATGTATTTCTCTTCCCTACAAATATTGGTTGCAAGGGTATCTGTAGTTAGGACATCTCTTTGACAGAGTTCTTCCCATTATGCTTTGCTGCTGTCTTCTTTCGGTTGGATGACATCATTGGGCACTGCTTCCTCAATTTTTTCTGGACTCAACACTTCCTTTGCATTGCCTTCCTTTAATGGTAGCTTTCTGCAAACAATTGAAGAAATTGTGAGGAGAATTATTCTAAATGATCATATTACAACTGAAATTTTATGGAGCCGTTAATCTCTCGTGTTGATCAGTTCATGCTTCCTGAGGGAAGAAACTTACATTCAAGTCATTGTCCTGAGGAAGGGTCACCACACCTGAAACGTTAACTCTGTTTTCTCCTTCACAGATGCTGCCAGACCTGCTGAGCTTTTCCAGCAACTTTGTTTTTGTTCCTGATTTACAGCATCCGCAGTTCTTTGGTTTTACATTCAAGTCATGCCTCTTGTGCCCAAAATACTTAATAGCAAAGAGTTATATTAAATATCGTCACTGCTTTGTTTTCAAAAAAGGGCCAATTGGAATGCGGGTGATATGTGGGGAAGGGGAAATGTCCACCACCAAAACTGTTAGCACCCCCTTAATAAATCTCCGGGAAACCCAAGGGAACTGAGTCCTTCCTTGGTACTGGGAAGCCTATTGCCAAAGCTCCTGACTCAACTGAGGAAACTGAATTACGACATCTCCCTCACTCGAGTGGAGCTCCCAGCACAAGAACTGCTGGCTAAATACAGGCTGCATATTTGTATGGTTAGCAACTCCATCAGGACCATTATGAATCCCTAGAGAAGGCACCTCAGATTTGGGTGGGAATTGTAGAAAGGAGATTGCTGGTGAGGGATCTGGATTGGGGGAGGTAGAGATCGGCCCTGCAAAAGGACTGAAAGGCGGCTGTCAGTGGAACCTTTCCTTCGTGACAAAATTGTTCCACATGGTCTCACCTCACAGTGATTATAAGAGATGGGATGACACTTTAAGTAGCCTTTGATTAATGGACATGAAGTGAGCAATTTTTCCAACTTCGATCTTAATCAGAAATGTCCCTCTTATTCAAGCATCCCCCCATTCTCTGCCCTACATTAGTAGGAAGGTAAAAGGCAGTTTTCCTCGTCTGGAAAGATGCACTGTATGCTATTGCACAGGCCTATTGAGCATAATCTTTCACCTCCTTGCTTATCATTAATCTACCACTGGCTTAAATGTACTCAACGGCTCTGCTTTGAACCATCTCTGAGGAAGAGCTATCTGTGAGAAAGAAAATTCTTCTCCTCCTCTCTGCCTTAGATGTTTGGCCTGTTATTTTGAAACAGTGATGCCTAGTTCTAGAGTCTAGCTCACTAACACCTGAAGTAGGAGTGAGGCACCGAAAGCTTGTGTTTTCAAATAAACCTGTTGAACTCTAATCTGGCGCCGTGTGATTTCTAACCTTGTCCACCCCAGTCCAACACCGGCACCTCCACTTTGTGCCTAAAATCTTCGAAAAGAGGAAACATTTTCTTTCACATACACTTTCAAGACTGTTCAGGATCTTATATATTTCAATCAATTTGCCTCCTACTCTTCTAAATTCCAGTCCATACAAGCCTAGCCTGTGCAATTTGTCCCCCTAAGACAATCCTGCTATTCCAGGTATTTGTCTGGTAAATCTTTTCTTATCTGTCTCCAACTCATTTCTATCTTTCCCTGAATAAAATGACCAATACTCTGCATGGTAATCCAGATACTGTGTCCTGTATAAATGAAGCATACTATTCTTACAATTCTCCTCATAGTAAACCATACCTTTATATGAGCTTTCCTAATTATTTGCTCAACCTGCAAACTAGCTTTTTGAGAATTGTAAAATAAGACACTAATCTTTGCAATTTCTCATCATTTAGCTAATTTGTTTATTTTCTAATTTTCCTGCCAAAATGGACAACTTCACATTTCCCACATTTTCCAGATCTTTGCTCACTCCACTGACATACCTATTCCCATTTTTAACCTCCTTATGTTCTCTTGACAATTTACTTTCCTGCTTATCTTTGTGTAATCAGCAAATTTAGCAACCATACCTTTGGTCCCTTTGTAAATATTGGAGACTCTGGCTCTGAAACTGTGGAAGTGAAACACTATCATTTAAAAGACATCTGGATGGATATAAAAACAGGAAGGGTTTAGAGGGATATGGGCCAAAAACTGACAAATGGGACTAGATTAATTTAGGAATTTTGATCTGCACAGACAAGTTGAACCAAAGGGTCTGTTTCCATGCTGTACATCTGTACGACTCTAAGTTTCTATTGAATGGTGGGTCTGTCTGCTTGCCTAAATGGGTGCGAAAGAACCAAAGGGTCCATAAAATAAATTATCCAGTTGTTACAATATTGCTGCTTCTGGGAGCTGGCTGCAGACAAATTGGCTGCTGTGTTTCCCATATCACTACTGGGACTACACTTTAGAAGTACTTCATTGACTGTAAAGCTCTTTGGTATGCCCTGATATCATGAAGGATGTCATATGAATGTAAGTTCTTTTTTAATTAGCCTTTGATGTTGACATTAGATTGGACATGGAGATCTCCAATACCACTTCAACATAGTAAAACAAACTGGATTACAGTGTGCAGGCCAATCAAACTTATGAATCCACCAGGATTTCAAAGCTCAGGTAAATTGGACAGCAGAGTGAACCCATTTTCGCACTTTATTTACACACATTTTCCATTTCTACCCATCCTTTTACCTCTATTATCTTTGTCTTTTGTTCTGGAAATCCTGAGAAACGGCTCTACTTAATCCTCACCTGCCTCTGCCAACAGCATAAAACACACAATTTTCCAGCCTCTTTCAGTTCTGAGGAAGAGTCCTATTGGACTTAAAATATTAACTTTCTTTCCCTCCCCACAAGTGCTTCCAGGGCTGCTGAGCTTCTCCAACAATTCCTGCTTTATTTAACTTGGATACCATGCTTGGTACCTCTGCCTGCTAAATAGAGGTGGAAGTTGTAGCATTGGTTAATTGTTGAGACACCAGTCCTGGCAGCTCTTACAAGAGGACCTGACTTGCCAAAAGTTGGCCAAAACCTTATCCCTATTTCTTACTGGCACATATTCTGTCAAGGATATCAGGGATGAAGCTAGGAATTTTACCATATTGTTCTCTTATTCCTGCCAATCTCAATCGCTTCTGTGATTTCAGCCACAAAGGCCACCAATGTGGAAATGACCTTACTCCATTGTCATCAGGAAACCCCAATACATGTGAAACATAACAGGATAGTGAAAGGAACATCACTAGCTGCATCTCCACTTGCCAGCAGTGACTGTGATTCGAAAGCAAGTCATTGACTGTGAAGTTCTTTGGGATGCGTCGAAGCCCAGTGCTAATATTTGATTTCCTGCCTTGCTTCTACCTTCCAATCCAATTAACATGACACAAACTGCTCCAGCATTTGGCAAGTTGACCCTCAGTTGGCAACCTTGCTCAGAGGGAAGGAATCTGAATGACCAGTAATGTGACGTTTGTTATCCATAGCCCATGGCAGGTGACTGTCAGTGGGAGCAGCAAACAGGAAGCAAACAGATGTATTTGGAATGTAAGTTGCAAGAACCAGATATTTGCAGTTGTCCCAGTCCCGCCACTTCACATGGTCACGTCAATCCTTATAATTATTTTATATTTTGGCCACTTTTCTCTACTTATTGGTGCCAATCAGATGCAAGACAGATGGCAAACATTGGCAGCCGGGCTTCTACACACATTCAGCAAGGAGAAAGGGGTTAAAACTGCACAGAGGTTTTCCAAATTCTTATTCTAAATATTTCATTGGCAAATTTACACCCCTTCCTCCCTTAGCCCTAAACTCTCTGAGCGAGAAGTTATTCTGATTGTAAATTTGCCTCCAAATTTTTGATTTAAAACATATCAAGATTGAAATGCATGATTTTTGTGGGTAAATCATTAGTTAGGCAGAGGTTCAGGCATTTGTCCAGCTTATATTAATTTTACCAGACTGAAGGAGAGACGATTAGACAGCAATGGTCATTGAGAATTTCTCGAGCACCAGAAGGGAAGTGAAAGCCTCCAGGAAGGATTATCCTTCTCAGAATCCCAACTAGCCCATGAGAAAATGGTAAGAATCTGCTACATTGCAGAACAGAGTGATCTAGATTGCAAAGGCTGACCCATTGTCAAGGCTCCTGTAGATGAATCCTAGACATTGCCCTATTATGCGTCTGACTGTCAGTGCTCAGTACCACTGTGTCTCAGAGGTATCGATGGCTAATATCACTGTGTGTTGAATAACTAATGTCCAACATCAAAACACGATGATCAATAATGCACAACATCATTGTGTCAGGTCATCAATTGCCCATGTCATTGCATTTTGGGCCAAAACTACAATGTGTTTATTATCAATGCCCAATATCATTGGGTGTCAGGTCATTCTTTTCCCAGTGACAATGTGTTTGGGGCGTCGATCAAAGCATCAATTTCAAGTAGTATTGTGTCAGACAATTAATGTCCATTTTTACAATATTGGCTCATCATTGTCCAGTGTTAGACCATCACTGTCCTCGGTATTGATTATGAAATGTTGCATCATCTTATATTCTTATGCTGCTCCCAATCCAGAGCCAATGGAAGGAAGAAGCACTTACTCAGGCTCTGTTAGTGGTGTTGTTTCATTTGGTTCATTTGCTGAGCTCCCATCATGGTTTGTGATCGGTTCATCTTCTGTCCTCATCTCCACTATGGGCTCTTTAGAACCATCCTTCCTAAAAAAAGCAAAGTTATGATTAGCTAGTGTCCGACCCTAAAAGAGTGGCATCTTTTTTGCAAAGAACCTATATATTTCAATATTTCAACTGGGAATGATATAAATCTCATCAAATGCACTTTGTTATGACTGTTGGTGTAATTTCTATAAAGATGATGATGCATCAGTACTTAATATTAAAGATTGAAAAGACTGGGGATCTTTTCTAATTATATGACAACTGAAGTGTGATCTCTTGGAAATCTAAGATTTTGTAATGAATTGATCAGGTAGATGTAGCGGTGATGTTTATAATAGTAGTGGAGACTGAAGGAGCCAGAAGTATAAGCTGGCCACTTATAAATCCAAGAAAGAATTCAGGAGAAACCTCTTTATCCAGAGAATGGGAGTGTTAGGAAAGCTATTATTACATGAGTAGATTGGGTGAATAGTGTAGATGAACATTAGAAGGAAGTAGGTAAATGCAAGGAAGAAATGGAAAGATATGGTAGTAGGGTTTAATGAGGAGGGATAGTATGGTGTTGGTGTGTAGCATAAATACTGGAATAAATCATTTGTCTGAATTTCTTATTTTGGTGCTGTCCACTCCATATAATTCTGTATAAGGAAGAAAGCTTTGCCAAATACTTTTCTTTCATGTGGGCAGTGCATATTTAACAAGTAAACACACGACAAATTCAGGATATTTGCATTCCTCAAATGTCAAAGGCTCAGATTACAAGTGACAATTGGCATACCTTGGAGAATTTTATTGTCAAGAAGTGGAGTCTCTGAGAGCTTTGTTGACTGTATTGCCAATATTTATGATTTTTGTTCTTTTTTATGGACATATTTACTCAGTTTTATCTAACTTTGCTTACGTGGAATTTAGACCCATCAAATTGAGACAAATGGTGCCTGTTCCCATTTTAAACACCAAGTGATATAACAAAGTGATTCCAAGACAGATGAAACTTGGTTCGATAAAAAGTAGCTATCATTCTCTTCTCCACAACAATGAGACTTCTATCTAATATTCAGAAGTGTGACCCTTACAGCAGCCACATGATTCTTGTTGTATGTTATACCTCGTAAGTATAAAACTTGCCTGTACATGCCTGCAGACAGTCATTATTGGATTAGCTTTACTTACTTATCATGTCAACAGAGATGGCAGTATCACTGAATACTCAGATACTGCCATATATTACACTCCCTCCTCACTCTAACAAAAACGTTGTAAAGTATATAACATTCCAGAGTACAATGAGACTGAAGCAACAAAATCAGAAAATTTAATAGGTTGGATTGCTTATTTACCTACTGTTATCACAATCAAAACATAAATGACTGCTAATTTCAGAGGTAATTTTGATATATTATTTTACCCTTATTTCATTTTACTTACCTGGTTTGTTATTCTTTCTGTCTGAGTTTATCCTTCCATCTCTGTTCTTTCAACATGTGTAAATATGTCACATCTGGATTGTGACTTTGACTGCCTGCTCCATTTAATGAATGGAACTGTGACATTGATTAATTTGTCTTAGTCAAAAACTCAGATGCACTGTGCCGCGCTGTGGGATGGTGTAATATTAGCAAACTTTCAGTTTCTTTCTGAGTTTCACTTGGAGGATTGTAAATGAAATTGAAACTGAAGGAGATTTCTCAATGTCTTTCTTTGTCATATTTCATTGTTTGATTAGACAATGTGCATGACATTGACAGAGTCTCTCACCAATTATTACAAGTTATGCAGCTTGATTCTTCACATAACTTCAATCACATATATCCAGTTATCAACTTTTTTATGAACTCTCTAAGTTTCATGTCCGGTGTATTATAATTGTCCCTACCTTGCCTTGTTTTTCTCTTCCGTTGACATCGACATCAGATTTTAACAAATTAATCCTTGTCTTATGAGTGTTTTTGAACATTCACTCATAGGGTGAACAGTTGTTGCAAACTATGGGTTTTTTCAGTAAGACAACCCAATGTTCTCTTGTTGTGATGAATAGAAGCATGAAACTTGCTGCTGAGCTTATCACCAAGAAAGTACTTCTGTAAAAACCTCTTCACAAGCTGTATATTTCCTTCTACAGTACTATTCAGTGTTGGATAATGTGTGTCTGCCTCTTCCTTGCTCAGAAATAGTTCAAACCCTTTTGGCGTAAACTGTGGTCCATGATCTGAAACCATACGGTTTTTGTGTTTGACCATGGAATGAGTGGCACCTCGTTGCATCACTTCTAGAAATTTAAGAACTGGAGTAGGCCATTCATCCTCTCTAGCCTCTTCAACCATTAATTGAGATCATGGTGAATCTACGGCCTAACCCCACAAATCTGCCTTTGGCCTTATTCCTTAATAACTTTGTTGAACAAAACAATTATCTACTTCAGATTTACAATTAGTAACTGATCTAGAATCAACTGCCATTTGTGGAAGAGAGTTCCGAACCTCTACCACCTTTTTTGCGCAGAAGTGTTTCCTAACATCTCTCCTGAACGGTCTGGCCCTAAATTTTAGACTATGCCCCTAGTTCTCCAGCCTTCAAACAATGGAAATAGTTTATCTTCATCTACCCTGTTTTTTTCCTGTTAATATCTTGAAGACATTGATCAGAGTACTCCTTGACTTTCAAAATTCTAGATCATACTTCACAACTTTTCAATAATGCTTCAATATTATTGTCCACGTTAGCATGCCAAAATTAGCTTCTTGATGCTGCTTTTGTATGGACCATCTCTGAGTGGCCTTGGTAATGTTCCTCCAACCAATCTCCCTCTTAATTTTAGTTCATTTCCATGTGTGATATATTCCTGTAATTTTGTACATTGCAATCTGACTGCCAGCCATTCAAAACATAATTGAGCACTTTACTGAGCATCACATCTTGTGAGTTTCTTCACTCGTTACTCTGACAGACACTGGCATATCATATATGTTGGTAATTCACAGGTAACTCATCATAGGAAAACTCAAAAGGATATTGAATCTACATGATCTACAAACTTTCAACGATGAATCTTGTAATAATTTTATCTTTTGGTTCTTCTTGCACTGTGCTTTCTTAACTTTGCTAAAGAAGGCTTTTGTCAAGTAACTAGACATATCATGATACTCCAGCCTAACACGAACTTGAACTTGCAATGAAATACTGTTATTGAAGTCATGAGTAAGTTTCAGATAATTTTGTGTAAAGGGACAAGATTTATGAGACATCCTGTACTCTCCTTCTGAGATAACAGCCAGTTAAAAAAAACAAAAAATGTATCATCCTATGAGTCTGTGTTGGATTTGAGTCTCAGAGTTGAAGAATATGTGGCTCATTCAATATACCATCCAATTCTAACTGTTCGGCTGCCAATCAAATTGTTAATGTAACCTCCCTCACTCGTTATGATCTTGCTCAGTTATGTACCAACCTCTACGGAGCATGCAGAATTTAGGTGAGATGCTCATGGCCAACTGTCTGCCTCTGGGTAGTAAGCAGCAGGTGGAGGGGTAGCTAAGCATCAGCACAGAGTTGAGGCTCAGGTTCTAGCTGGTGCCATATTCCAGTGGATCTGCAAACAGGAGAGCAAATCCTCCATCTGTAACCCTGTGAGCCTGCCTCACTAGATTAATTACGGACTTGGGATTAGGTTGGTTACAGGAGACAAAGCAAATTCAGGCTCAAACATGCATTTTCATGATTGCCTCATCCAATACAGTGATGCACTTTTGCACATTTTTAATCCAATACTTGAGGTTTTGATCCTTTGGGTTCATTATGCATTACTTTGATTTTACAGCATTGAAGCAGACCAGTCAGTTAGATCAGTGCATATCAATATTTAATTCTAGACAAGTCTGCTCCCACACTTTTTCCTTTTGCCCAAGTAGTATAGCCTAATCTTTTTGCCATTACGTGTTTGAATAGCTTCTACGCTTTCCCAAAATCTTCACCCTTCCCTCTATTCAAGTTGCTGTAGCCCACTCCATAAATATTAGATTTTTAAATATATTCATTTATGGGATGTCGGCTGTGCTGAAAAGGCCAATATTTGTTGCCCATCTCCAATTGTGTTTATAATGAGTATCTTGTCACTCTGTTTCAGAGGGCAGCTAAGACTCAACCACATTGCTGTGTCTTGGGTCACATATAGGCCAGACTAGGCAACGGTGGCAGATTTCCTTCCCTAAAGGACCTGAGTGAACAGGATGGAGTTTAATCATAATCAATGATGGTTTCGTAAAACCGTAACTGATACTAGCGTTCAATTCTAGATATAACGCAGTATGGAGCTGGAGAAGCGTAGTAGGCCAGGCGGCATCAGAGGAGCAGGAAAGTTGATGTTTCCAGTTGGGACTCTTCTTCAGAAACGTCAACTTTCCTGCTCCCCTGATGCTGCCTGGCCTGCTGTGCTTCTCCAGCTCCATACTGTGTTATCTCAGACTCTAGCATCGGCAGTTCTTGCTATCCCTGAGTAGCTTTCAATTCTAGTATGATTGAATTTAAATTGGCTTCCATTTGAAAATATGTCCTAGAACATTGGTCTCAGCCTCTGGTTTTCTGGTCTAGTAACAGTACCATTATGTCACTGCTTTCTCCATTGGAATAGTAAGGTATAGCAACACTGAATTCTTCTCTCAAACCTACTACCCAAGTGCTCCATTAGGAGATGCATGAGATTGAATTTGTGCCACTGCCTTCCTTTTGCATTAGAGCCACAGAGTCCATGATTCTCAGTGTTCAGTGGTATTTGCCCTTTGTAAATGGACATCTTGCTGTTGCCCAGAAAGAGGGATCCTGGATAATTGATGTCGATGTACCATGCAGCCAATTGGGATTCCCTCTTCTTAGAGATTCTCCAACTTCTGAAGCAATATCGAAAAACAAACTGTTAGCCCTCAAGTTGACTCGAAGTGCAGATGTCTGATCATAAACAAAGGTCAGTGGGCAAATTAGCAGAGTGAAATGATCAATGCATCAGTTTTCTGGCATGGCATTTAGATCTATGTACACAGGAATTA